AATTGGTATGTTTTACAATACAAATTTTATCAACCATGTTGGTTACTAGTTTTTATGCCGAAATGGAAGCTATCTGGGACCAAATTGCTCTTCATAGCCAACCTTCGACTGTACTCCTGGAATTAGGAAATATATTGGGTTAAACTTCCATTTTTGGTCCTTCAATTATGATATGGATCCCTAATTTGATCTTACACTAAATAAATTTCTATTTTTGTCCTGAAAGTTTTAAATTTCGATTATATTTTTATCTCAAAATAGGGATTTGTTAAGTTCAGTGACCAAATTAGGAGTTGGTCCAAAAGTTCAAGGACCAAAATTTAGGTTTAACCTAATTGTAATTTTGTTATTTAATAAGTTTTAATGGCTAATATGGACAATGAATCTTAATTGCTCACATCATCAATTGTTGTCACGTGAAATTCTCACCTGATTAATTTGTACGAAAAAAATAGGTTTCAACGTAAATTAACATGTCCGTATAAATTAAAATTTAATAAAAACACTAAAAAAGTCAAATTTTAAATTTTAAGTGCCACAATAGAATTTATTTAATTTAGAAGTTAAATCAAAAGTTTATACTAAAGTTGAGATACCAAAATTGAGATTTAACCAATATATTGAATACTATGGCATAATTAAATTTTGAATTTATGAGAAAAAATTTTAATTAAAACAAACTTTTTTTAAACTATCACAAATACCTTTTTTAACCTTACATAAATGAGGTACCATTGACTAGATAATATATTAAACTAATAAAATTACAAAGCTACTCTCATCTAGGATTATAGTCCCACCCACCAAATTTAATTATTGAAAAACAATTAATTAATGAAAACACATTATAAATGTCAAATTACAAGGGTATCCTCTCCTTCTTCTCTTAACTTCTCTCAATCATCCTCTCTGCTTTATCCTTTTCCATCCCCTTCTCTATCCTTTTCCTACTTCTCCAATGCAACTCATAGACTTCTCCATCAAAGCAATCTAATTTCAAGTTGCACTTTCTAGTCCAAATCTTGGGGCTCAAGATCTTCAAGCATGGAGCTCCCTCTTCAACATTGACGTTTTTTATTACTAAAAGGGAAAATCTATTTATTATTTTAATTACTATAAATATTTAGACATCAAGTACTTTAATGCTTTGTGAGCTAACTAAGTATATGAGTTAATTGCTTTTCATTAGGATTTAATGTTTAGACATAACATTAATTACATAATTTGAAATCAAATGGTCCCCCTTTTCAAGTAGGATTAAAAATGTTTACGTGGATGCTAACGAAACATCCATCATTAAATCAATTTAGAAATAAAATAAAATTTATTTTTTTTGTTGAACTACCATTCAAGTTAGCATTTAACTACCAAAAGGACAAAATTAGTACTAAAAAATAAAGTTCAAGAAATACTTTGATAATTTTTGAAAGTTGAGGACCACATTGGTCTTTTAACCTTTTTTTTTTTTTTGCCATCGTAACATAGCGTGCAACTTGGTGTTTGGCCTTTTGTTTTTCTTTCCCCTTGTTCATCCGAGCGCTTATGAACCAAACAAGCGATGGCATAATCAAGAACAACCTTATTCTTAGGACCAAACAGTCGGAATCATGTACTGACATCTCTAGGGTTTGAGGGCGTCAAATCCCCTCCCTTTAAAAGCCGCCATAGCTGTTTCCTCTTCCTCCTCTGCATGTATGGAGTTTTTCTTCTTCTCACTATTTTTTTTTTTTCTCCTTTCTTTTACGCTGAGTTTTCTGGACTCGAGTCTACCAAGATTACAAACCCATTTTTCAATTTTATTTCTTTTGTGGAATCTGTGACTGATTTGATGGGGAAAAGATGATGAAAGTTATATTGACGGGTGATGATCAAATTCATGTGATCAAAAATCTACTCGCTACGTTCTTTCTGATTCCTTCTTTGCTTTTTTTTTTTATACGATTTTATGGAGATGATGAAAATCAGAAAATCTTAGGACACCTTCTGACATGGCCACAGATCGCTGTGCTGTGTATGAGAAAGATTTTCGATTCTGATATTTGATTAGATTTGCTTTAACGCATTTTCTTAAAGTTTTGATCTTTTCTTTTTTTTATTAAGTAAAAATTGTTGCACTGCACTAATTCTATCATACTATACAATAAAAAACCTTTTGTTTTTTCCAACTCCATCTAAAATCTGCATTCCTTCATTTTATGTTAGATTTGATTTTTATTGAGATAGAGTTTGAAGGATGGTAAAAAATATTTTCTTGAACCGCTGCAGCTGCATCTACCGAGAGCTCAATCGAACCTAGAGATTGATTTGTTTACATTGTAAATTTGGAAAAAGGAAGGAAGGGCTCTTTGAATTGTTAGTCAAAGTTGAATTCAGCACTAAAATAGTGGCTGTGGTGTGCTGAAATGGTTGGGAATGGATTAGAATGGGAATGCCCCCTTCCAAGTTTCTATTTGATTTCAAACTGATGCCCTCTTTAATGGGTCTAAATATCTCATGGGATAGTGCTTGTTGCGATTTACTTTAAAAAAAAAAAAAACTTAAGTGAAAAAATGATAAAAAAATATTTTAATTTATGTTCTAAAAATAAAATATTTTAATTTTTTTAATAAATATTTATTAAAATAATATAATTTTAAAATAATATTTTTATTAATCTTTTTTTTTTATTTCAAATTTCTATTAATCTTTAAGAGATAAAAGAGGTATGTATTGTTCTTATGTCTTATATCTTAATTACAAGAAATATCCAACTGGAAAGCTTGCTAATTAATCAAAGCATTTTATTCCACTCCGAATAGAGGAATTAAATAGGACATTGGAATGACATTCTTCTGGTCTATTCCCAACTATTCAGGCCCACCAAACCCAGCATTAAATCAAAATATCAACCGTAACTACATTCCAGCTTCAATCGATTTTCTTCGTCAAACTTAAGTCACATGCAATGGTTGGTTCAAAATCCCTTATAATATGTTTAGGTTGAGGGGAAATAGAGGGGAGGGAAGAAGATTATTTTTTGACTAATTAAAATATAATATTTAATATTATAATAGGTTAAAAAAAACCTCTCTCATACTTTTTTTTTCTTATTCTTTTCTCTCTGTTTTTCTTGATCTAAACATATTATTAATGTTGAAATTAGAAGATTTTAGGGTTTAACTATTAATGTGAATAGGGCTATATCTTTAAGTTTATATACTTTTCATTTTAAACTAAAAAATAATAATTTTTAAATAAATATGTTATGTAATTTATTAAACTGAAAGATATATCAATCAATGTTCATGTTCCTCATATAAAACTCATCATATTCTTTCTTTTACAGGAATCATATTCTGGCAAGACCCCTTGTAGAGGGTCCAAGGTGAATTTCATCTTGTAACACTATTTTAGAGCAGCTAAAGTCGAGATTAAGATTAAAAGCAAACATAACAATAATCATCTAAGAAGACTGAGATCTACAGGTTCACTTGTGTCCAAAGTTTGACAGTGAAATATATAAATCGAACCCCAATCCCTGAAATCCTCAAATGTAATAGGGATTCATTTTGGCGCTATGAATGTTACAGATTTTCGTGGTATCAAAAACCTTATTTTTCCAAAGAAACAGAGAAGGGATTGGAGAGATCTGAAAAAAAGTAGTGTATATGGGGAAACTTTTTTGTATCACGAGAATATATAAGACCTGGGCATATTCCAAGTTAATAACAAAATGATGCCTACAAAATATAGAGGTCTCATGTTAACGTGTCATGTTATAAACATAACATTCTAACACTATTTGTAGCCTTGTCGAATATAATCCAAAGAAATAATTTATTTAAGTTATACTTTCATTGTTACAACGATCTGTAAGAAGAACCAAATAACATCAATTGGATAAACAGAACAAAGAATATATTGTATATCAAATGAAAAAGAAACACTTCAAAACCTGAATACATAGCATTTTAATTACTTCCTTCAGCACAAGAACATGGCTTGCTATTCCGCAGGCCAGCCAATAGCCTTTCCTTCCTTAGTGGCCGCGACCGCTGTGGCTTGGCCCTGAATACGCTTTGCTTAAATTGATGCCCTTTATCAACGACGAAGAAGAAGAAGATTCATGATCTTTCAGATGTCTCAAGCTCTCAACATGCAACGAACTCGAGAGCAACAAAAACAAGATCAAGATAGAAACAACGTTCAAAACCAATACAAAAGAATGATGCCTCATTTTCCCCCCTTAATTTCTCTTGTTGCTTGTAGCTTAGGTGGTGGTATGGAGTGTAATATTTATGAGGGTGGTAGGATGGAGGATAATGGCTATTTAAAGAAAGGCATGAATGTGTTTTTGGGATTTGGCGGAGTTTGGTGTTTGAAAACGTATAGCCTACGGTTTTGACAAACGAGATGTTTGGGAGATTGAGATGAGAATTGGTCAATACGTGGGAAAATAGTGTGCAACATTCACCTTTTCCGTTGTCATGGTGACTTTAGGCCATGAATAAATTAAAATTGTTTTACTATTCGACCTAAATTCCACTTTCATGAGGAAGTTAGGTCCATTTTTCCATCTTCATCCATGTCGGCGATTTTGCTTGTCCAGTTAGTATTCCCCACTCAAGCTAACCCAACATCAATCGGTCAACTGTGTCTTGGAAGTGTGAACGAGACACTTGTTAAGTATTTGAATTCAACAGGTCCGCTTGAACTTTTCAAGCTATAATTAAGTTTTTCGGAATTCAAAAGGTTGGTGGAGTTTAGTTAAATCGAATTAGACTTGAATACTCAAACCTGAAGAATTAATTCATGTCCAACAAAGGAGTGTAATTATAGCCACACAAAAATGTATTAAAATCATATAAAATTATTAATTTAATATTTAAAACACTAATTTTGTTCAGTTTAACAATTAAAAACAATTAATAACTAATTTCAATAGTAATTTTTTTCATTAGAAATAAAAAATCTTAAATTTGAGTTGTATGAGATGTAAATAAGGTGGGATAAGGGATGAGTAAAAATTATTTTTTATTGTATAATTAAGATAAAAAATAATAAAATAATTAATATTTATTACTTAATAAACTAAAATCAATTTATAAATTAATATTTTCAAACATTATAATCAGTTAATAAAAAAAATAAAAAAATAAAAAAAAACCTACATACAAACAATCAAACTAAACACACATTGTGATTTGTATGGACTTGACACATTTTTTGCTGCCATAACCATACCCCAAATAAAATCGCAATCCAACTTGTTGATATACCCCTAATAAAATATAGTTGTATTCTTTGTAAATGTGACACGAAGTCAAATATAATAATTTCCAGCATTGAAAAAGGCTTGCCAGATACAACAGGGGGGAAAAAAATACTATCATTATTCGGGTTATTCAAGTTGAACAAAGACATGTTTGAAATCTTCTAATAAATTTTATTTACCAACACATAGTCAAGTCACGTGCAAAGCGCAGCATGCGAGTTAAGAACACGTGACAGATGCAAAGAAAATGTTGTGCAACAGCCCACGACTCAACGAAGTTGAACATACAGCTAACAGCTACATGCATAAACTGTTGACCCGTTACGAAAATCTTATTCACACTATGATTATGACATGTTAGATGCCTGTCCATATTAGATGCCTCAGTTCACGATCCACATATTAAGGTAGGGGTGTATCTTGCCATTCAAACTTTCTGTAGCAGCCGCAGGCTACAAATGCCAAAGCCTCATGATCAGGGGCTGACCCTGGTCCCACAGGAAATCAACTGATCATGGATCCTAAATGTTTGCCGTCTACACAGGACATACTATGAAATACTTTATCTTATAAAAAATAAAACAAGAAAAAACACTATTTTAAGAAATCTATATAACTGCCCATAGGAATGTCAAATATGTAAGGAACCAATTCACCTCAAAAATAGTAAAGACTGCCTACCAATAATATGGGATTTCTGCCCTTAATAGTATGATCCAACCAACTGTTAATTACCATAACCTGCTTCCATCCTTGCGGTTAAAGAATCATAGCAACCATGTTTGATTTCTAACATGTCTAGGTTCGAGTCTTGGTAATGTTCTAGTCATCATTCCAACCAAACTAACTGTTATTTACTTATTAGCCAGAATTCTATGGTCTTGTTACAGCGTGTAGAATATATAACCATGATATTTTAGACAAAATAACCAAGAGGGCACTTCAGAACTTAGCTACAGGCTAAATATATTCCAACACGTTTGTATATCTTAACAAGATAATTGAACAATATAAATTTACATTAAAAACTTCCATTATCCTGTTTAAGGTTAACTGGGGAAAGAGATAGAAGACGTGCCAACAAGATAGCTAAAGGTTGATGCCCATCCCAGTTGCCTTGTGCCAACAATATACCTTGCCTCTTGATTGAGCGAACTACTCGGCAATAGTTCATCGTTGGGATATGCTCATCTTCATAAGGTGGACTCACAATTATTCTGTGACTAGCAAGTTTGAGAAGTTGCTCCATTGATATTCACGCTATTGCTCTGGAATTTTACTCTGGCTCTTCATCGCAGCGCGGTTGCACAAATCTATCAAGTATTGAACTGATTGTTATCTACTTTCCAACAAATATTGAATAACATTAAGATTTTATTTACACTAAGACAGGCTATCAATATCATTCAAAAGGATTCGCTTGAAGATCCTACCTTTAAATCTGTCAGCACCACAAATCTTCAATAATAGATGTGGACTCCTGCTAGCAAACACAAGAACGTCTCTGCAAGTCCTGCAGTCAAAGGCTTCACTGCCATATCCGTCAGGTAATAAACCCTTTGTCAACCAATAGCTGTTAATAATATACCCAATATCATCAGGTTTCTTTGTGTATGAATTTTGTAGAAGAAAAAAAGTGAAATACAAAAATTTGCATGCTTTTCAACTAATAAGATGATATTACTCACATAATCATACAAAAGGTTAACAGCTGGATTTTAATTGTTTCCAAAATTTGTGAAAAGTCTTATTACGGAAGTGACTTCATGAATCATGAGAATAGAAAAGGAATCACAGGAAACGACAAGATTTAACTAATAAAAATATTAAAGAGAAATTGTGGATAAAATGCATCTCATGAAGGAGATTAAAGTTTGAATCTTCTTTCTTTTTTTTTTTCTTTTTTGATAAAAATTTTGAATCAAATTTGATTATAAAGTTCATATGATAGTGTTGAATTTACAACTTTGAATATGCCAAAAAGAAAAATGGAAAGGAAAGAAAGAACAAAGTAGGGACTTAGGCAAATTTTAGGATAAGTATAAGGTTAAAATGGAAGTAAAGATGAAACCAGATTACATAGGACAGGGAGAAAATGCTTAAGATCTACCACAAGACATAACATGCTGAACAGATACATGGACCAATAAATTAAAAGACAAAAATAAGTTAATGATTTATAAATTAGATCAATCATCATGCAGTGTCAGTGATTAAAGATTCACAGTTGGTTTCCATAGCAAGTGAAATATGAAGAGGAGGCTTATGTAGTGTGGTCCAACCTCCTAATGAAAAAGAAAAAATTCATATCAACCAAAAGGCCACTAGACTTATGAAATGGAAACTAGAATAACTGTGAGACAAAAAACAAACATTCTCCAGAATATCACAACATATTTTCAATAATCAATAGGGATCCATTCTTACCCATAGATGTGAAACACAAAAGTTTAATGCTTCTCTTCCATTGGTTTCCATTGCAAATGATGGAGACAGAGCATCAATGTGAAAATGTTAAGGAGTTCCATGACAAGGAACTATTCATTTTGTGGTAGATGCAGGCTTCCACCATAGTTTTCATTAACAGATGCCTGACATGTTGCATGTAAAAAATCATGTCAAAGATCCAAAGTTAAAAACCTTGAATCAGTGCACATAATATAACAGCACGAATGAATGAATCTCAAAAGAATTGAAAATCCTAAGGTAATATTTCTTGGCAGATTGATATTTGATCAATTATTAACCCAAGGTAATAATCTTTTCAAATTAGAACCTTAAAATGAATAACAGGAATGTAGCCACTGACCTGAAGATATGGAAAGACTATATTGTACACTTCTAAGAAAAAATGTGACTTCATTGTTAGCCTGAAGCAATACCATCAACATATATATTAGACTGAAAGAAGATGCAAAAAAGGATAAGGGGGAGATTTGCATCCCCACCCCCCAATAAGCACATAAAACCTCAATTTCAATTGAAATCTTGTCACAACTAAGATCCTTTTAATCAAATGCACCAAAGGATGCATATGATTGCTATCTTTTGGCTAAAACCAAGCCAGCCACCATATCAATATTGCACCTGTAGCAACTTTTGCCCCAATAAACATCTATAAAGAAGAAAGAGCTTATGCTTATGAGATAGATGTTTTATTGATATTTTTCCACATGGGAAACTTCAACAAGAAACATATGCCTACCTTCTTAGAAGACAAAAACAGACATAGATCTCTTCAATATCCACTTCTAGCTTCAGTTTAATATACTGCTTGAGAAGTTCGCAGAAGCTGTCAATGGCATCACTCCAACCCTCACATCTTGTATCTAAAGGATGAAGTGATTCAGCAATAGTGCATTGCAGTATTGAAGATAAAGTCTTAGTTGACCTTGATTTATAGTACATATCAGCAAGAATGTTCAACATCAAGAAACTGCTGGCTTTGAATTGATTAACCCATGGAGGAGGAGTACCAATCCAGAGGTTACCATCTGCTCTGAGTAGATTCTTAGCAATCTTGGGACTTGAAGGTTCATTCTTAGTTACTGTAACAGTGCTAATAGCAGCATTTGAAGAGAAATCTTGCCTCCTGTGTGCAGGAAGCAGCTCAACTATGTCAACTCTCAATTCATCAGGCAATTGCTGTAACACTGATCTGTCCACTTGACTGAGAGATGAAGGCATCAAATCGGCCTTCTTAAGTTCTAAAGTGGAAACAGCCACGTTGTTGGACTCAGCCCCAGAGATGAGAACAGCCTGCCTTTCCTCTGCTACATGCTGCTTTTCCTTTGCAGGCATAAAAATTAAAAATTTAGCCAAGTGCACTCAATATATATTTAAAAAAAAAAAAAATTATCTTTATTTTTCCAGACATGAAAGAACGCAAAGTGGAAAGTAGTGGTTATGAAATTTAATATATCTTTAAACAGCCATTACACCCTTTATCTTAATTATCCTTCAAAATGCATGCACAAATTTTCATATGTATACTTACCCCTGTGTTTAGGTTCTCCAAATCCCCCATTAGTTCACCATTCAATATCTGCTCTTACATTTACATTTTACTTCACACAACTTAAGGGTTATATTAGTGATCTTGCTACAGCATTTGAAAATTATTAGATGAAAGAGACCAACCTGGCTATGACCATTTTAATTTAGTATATCGATGACTAAGCAAAAGAAATTTTATTGAGACCAACTTTCCTACTCTTCTGGTTTGATTTATTTATCACATCCAAGAACCATCAAATATTTCAGAAATGATTCACTTACCATAGTCCAGCAAATGACATGCAATTCTATCAAAAGTCTGGACAGAAGAGAAGATTGCTGATTGCTCAACAAATTAATCTAAAGGTTTTTTCTTTTGGTTTGTGATCTAATGAATTGAAGTTTAAAACAACCAGAATGCATATTTATACTTTGGTTAAACAAAAATATCTATTTATTTCAGTATCGTGGCTGTTGCAGATGTTTTAGTTTTCGTTGTCAAAAATTAGCAACCAAAACCAAAAATTGAAACCAACAACTTGTTTATTACAAGTTTAAAAACTAAGGGTATACTCATATGGTAAACAAAACTTCAAAAGATACTCTGTGACAGTTTCATCAATTGAGATAGGGACTCGTTAAGTACATCTAAACTCTAAAGGAACCGTCAAGGAAAATAAAAAGCTCTAATGGAAGAGTTACCTTAACTTCTATAGGCATCTTGACATGATCAGAAGATGGAGGAGGTTTCACTTCGGCTGTTGCACATTGTTAAACAGGGCCCATATGTCGGTGAGGCATTCCAAAAAACATACAGCAGATATACATGCATAACCAGCTAAGAAAATCAAAATCTTACCCTTGGTTGTTTCCTGTAAAGCACTGGTGAAGCTTTTAGCTTCCCCTTTACCTCCAGCAATCAAATCAACCAACTTCCCACAATAGATCTCATTTAATTCTGAAAGAAGTTCTGGTGGAAGACTTTCTATAACCCCTATATCGAGGTTACATAAAGGTGGGAGCCCTGACATCTGGTTTGAGCAGCCATCGCCACTGAATTGATCACTGGATCTATGAACAGATGTCACAACTGCATCAGTGCATAACTGACCTGAATTACCACCAAGTCCCTCACAATCTGCAAGATGAACCCACCAACAACTGAGTTAAAAGTTCATCTTTAGTAGTTGTAGCTGTAAAAATCCCAAAGGTCACCACTTGCCCTTAAGGTCTAAATGCAGAGTAAAACTTCCCAGTGCCTCATTTTAAATTTTGATGTTCTAGGGCTTTGGTGCAAACACAAGGCTTTAAGGTAGAAAAACTTTGAATGAAGATCCATGCCATCATCATTCATCAAGAAACTTTGCCATGAAATTTAAGCAAGTCACCACAAAAGGTCAACATAAGAGTAACAGTACGTAAAGAAAACAGCTCATTTCCAAATTTATGAATCTGTACATAGAGACACCAAACTCATGCCAAGTAGATTGCAGTGTGCTCAAAATTTTCCTCTAAACAATATGACATCTCTGGTCTGCTCCGGCTTTTAGCTGCAGAGATATGATTACAAGGATATCCCCTAAACAATATGACATAGCCGGTCTGCTCTGGCTTTTAGCTGCAGAGATATGATTCCAAGGAGATTTTTTTCCCTTACCGGCTTTCCAAAATCTATGTAAAATTATTTTTCACATGTAACATGATACAAGGTTAAAGCATTAATTTGTTGCAAGTCACTAGAGCGAAAAAATAAGGTTGCAAAAGCAAGAGTTTACAAAAAGGCAACCCCCAATACTACAACAAATGATTATGTGGTGGACAGTAGGAGGTTCAAGCCAGACCACCTAGTTGGTGACATTAGTGTTGCACCATCATGTATAAATGAAATGCTGCATTCATTTCACCATCTACTTTTTTAATTTCCACATTGCTTAACAGTATTATCCCATATAAGTTTGGGTTTCTTTGCATTATTAGTAGCTTGGGCCTCTCCACATATTGCTAATTGGCTTTAAGTTCGATGCATTAACACAGTAGCAAATCCCAGCTTCAATTGTTGATTTGCTTCTTGTTTGCCCCTGTTTGTTGTCCATATGTTAGGCCCACCTATCATGGTTGTTCTATGGGCCTACAACTCTAGGGGAGTCTTAAAATGGTTTTCACCAGCATTGATCAAATTAAGGATTTTCCATGGTTTTATAAGTAAATTCAGCCTCTACACCACCAACTGTCAATTGATTTGCAGTTGCATCTTTTAACTTGCAAGATACATTCTTACTCCATATGTCATGAAGCTTACGCTTCATTCATAGCCTTAAATACAATATTTACAGACTTTTTTGAGACAATATTATCTATAAGAACCAGTAAGAATGCAGGAAAATTACTTTTAGTTTTAAAATTTAAATCCTGGGCAACAAATAACTGGTTTTCCTAAAATATTAATATAATCAACTTTCATGCACATCATGATAAATTTAACTACTTAAAGAACACAGAAGAAGAAAGAAGAAAGTGGGAAAGGGGACAAGGCCTAAACATGTTACCTGTACTAACCCTTTCTTTGGCTACACTTTTGGGATGACATTGCCCTTCTCTGCCTGCAGAGGCAGATATGAGCCATGATTTCAAAGATCTTCTTTCAAGTCCTATAAGAAAATGAAGTTGGTAAACTGGTTTACCATCAGGAAAACAAAGGAAAATTCAATAGACAGGAACAGAAAGTGTCGCATCTTTGCCCACAATAGCATTATACATGAATTTGATAATAGGATCATTTGACAACTTAAGGCAAATAAAACAGGACAAATGGATTCAAATTCAACAATTAAAAATGATATAACACATACCTTGCTTTGATGTCTCTGCACTTTCAAGCTTGGAAACTTGCAAGCCAACACCCCGAATATCCTTCACATCTAGGTAAAATTAACCAGAAGGTCAGACAAAGTTATTTCAAAGGCATGCTGAATTCCATCAACTTTGACAAGTCAAAGTCAATAACCCCTCCCATAAACGCACTATTAGTCAGTGCAAATTTGTTTCTTTACAAAATTTTAAGCAGAAAAACTTTCCTTGAAGGCTGAATAGCAAAAGTGGGGTATGATTAACTGTAAATTGTAAAAGCAATTCTGCAAAAATAATTGATCACTGATGAGGTCAATCTGGTCTATACCTTATGTTTAAAAAGTATAGCTTTTATAAGCCAAAAAAGGAATGTGGATTTCACTAGCCAACAAAAGTGCAACATCTGCTCTTAGCTCTTTTGTAATAATAACTATTAGCTCTAACATTTAGCTTTGTATGGAGACAGGAGAAGGGAAAAACAAGAAAAAATAACAATGAAAAAACATAAGTTGTCACAGATTCCTGTTTTCATGTCAAATGCTGCAAAAAGCAGAAACTTGTAATATCACATGAAAACAGATTTTTTTATGAGTTACTATCTTTGATTCATGCAATGTTCAAACCAGAGATATAATTGGATTTTTTTCAATAAAATAAAGGGATATTCAGACAAAGCGTCCTAATCTGACTTACCTAAATGGAAAGACCCAAAAAGTTGCTTTGTTATTCTTTGAAGCACTTCCACGTCATCAGTAGCAACTGGAACCTATTATAACATGTTAATGAAAAGATATGAGGGAATCAGAGATGTCTACAGAAACCTCTTATATTATTTAAATCATATCAATACATAAAAAAGGACAATTTTACCCTTTCTCCTCATGATCGGTTAAAATGTATATATGCAAGCAAAGGCACATAGTTATCATAAGTATGCATCCATGTGTTATGCTAAATCAATCCAGGGGGTTGATTTGGGGAGAATCTAATGCCAAAGTACTTAACTAGGGACCAAGCAGGGTGGATTAGGAAATCCAATCCCACATTAGATTGAAAGAAAGATGTATTAAGCAATATATAAAGATTGAGACCCTCACCTAGCAAACTAGTATTTTGGGTAAAGGCTTAACTCGTGAAAAGTTGCTATCAAAGCAAGCCAATTCCACATTTGGTATCATGACAACATGTCTAGGCAAGTGGTCACACCAAGCAATCAAGGTAAAGCAGGTAGAGTGACCTGAGTAAGTAGTGTGGTTCACTCATGACAGGCATGTCCAAACTTGGGTGGGGAAGAACGTCATGCTAAAGCACTCCAATTGCAACAGGGAGTAAGCACTAAACAGGATTTGTTAGGAGGCTCCAACCACACACCAGATAGGAAGAGGGAGATCTCAAACCATATATAAATAGATTGACACTCACCTAATAGGGTAGTTTTTGGGTTGAGGTCTGACTCAAAACACATGCATGATGTGTAAACCTACATAAATAACATGCATCTTTAGAAAAGTAGACTCCATCACTACCGTTATGGTATGACTCAGGTTTTCACAATCTCCACAGCCCATGTACTTTGCAGGCTCTCCAGCATCCTTCCTTCTCTTTTTTATCTAGATAAGTGCATCAAAGACACCCAAAAAAAAAAAAAAAAAAAAAAAAAAAAGAAGGTTATCCAGGCCCAAAGATATAAACACCCTATCATGCTAATTAGTATCAAGAACAGAATAAGACAAAAACTCAACTTGTAAAGTGCTACTTATGCTAATTAGTATATGAGAGAATACCTTTAGGGTAAAGGTCCTGCCTTGCACTCCACATCCCTGCAAGCGTAAGGAAACTTCCTTGCAAAGGTCCAAGAGAAACCGTTGAGTCTGCAACAAATAATTAACAACATTCCACCCAATCAAATGGAGATGATGAAAGCAACAAAGATTGAGCTTCCATAAAGCTAAAGACTACCAACATCTTGCAAATCCCTGAATCTCACACCCCAGTTCACTTCAGCTCCTATTGACTTGCTTTCCTGAAAATAAAAAATCATATAATCAGCCTGCAATGGAGAAAGGCAATATAATCTAAAAACAAAACAAAAAGACTCTACTACACAAACTTCATCACTTATGAATCACTGTGTGACAAATATCTACTTAAATTTCAAATCCTCAAACAGTTAATAAAAATTCTGTACCAGAGCACCTGAGAAATATCTATTACTATATCTATTACTAGCAATTGCTCACATGACAGGTTTGTTACCATCAAAAAGTTATCAATTACAAATATCATTACTTTTGTCCTATTAACCTGAAAAAGCAATGCACTTTTCAACTAATCTAGCCTGCATTTTATAATCCCAGACAAATATTTTAAATAATATCACACATGGAGTTGCTTCAAGTAGACATCTTTTACAAACACTACAGGGGCTGCAACTTCAACTTCATAAACTTGTCATTTTTCCATTAAAAAATCAGTCACCATGATTCTTGTCTAGTGGCAAACAGCAAAGCAGCAAGCTTAACAAATTGAAACAGATATATGTCAAATAATATTCATGTATGCAAATGAACTGCAACAGTCTTCATGTATGGAAATGGACAGCAACTCAAGCAACAGAAGGACTAGTCAAAAAAGATACATGTCTATGCTACGTAAAAAAACATATGCAATTAATGAATCTCAAGAGTATAGCCAAAATCATGCTCTTTGCAAACCTGAATCACCCCAACAAGACGATTGTCTATTCCTCTACTATAATTCCACAGCATCTCACCAGTTTTAGCTCCAAAATCCTTTTGGAGGGAGTCCTGCAAAAGCCAAGAAAAGTTACATAGGATATTACATAAACATCTTCTAACCGTAGTATACTAAAATTTCAAAACAATTTCCCAGTTCACCCTGAAAAGAAAAGAAAAAGCCTGAACTGCAAAGCACATCAATGAATATGATCAGGGCATGTTGGCCAAATACATGCTCACATCTGACCAATTTCTTTTCTTTTCAATATCAAGATTAGAATAAACAATGTCACTAATTCACAACTAACATGTAGTTTTAAAGAAAAGAAACAAGGTCGGTTATCATCATCAGCATGTGCTAAAATTTCAAGTTATTCCCCTCGTACCCTCCCTACTCCTCATAGGCTAACTCTAACGGCAATCCAATCTAACATGTACCAAAATTTTCCCTTTATAGTTATCTTTTATTGTTAAATATCATTTCTCCTGGTTCCTAGAATATTACTGTTTTGATTGTGTATATGTGTTTGTTTCTTTGCCACAAGAAATGAAAGCAACAAAAACAAAGAGACAGAAACGTAGAAAAGTTTAGAAATTTGCAATTCTTGACCAAATCTTGGAACAAACATCCATTCTAAGTCAATAAAGGAAATAGTCAGCACTAATTATTTGTCAGCACTAACAAGTTACATCCACATATACAAAAATAAAAATAAATAAATAAATAAAGGGAAATATTAAGTAAAAGCAGATCATTATTCACAAAAGTCACTTGAATATGCTAACACATGGAAGAAGAAATCCATATCCCCAGTGAAAAATGAGAAGACCTTGGAAATGGTACGCAACTGCCCACATGTCCAAACATTTCGCATCTTCAACTTTTCCTCCAAAACATGCCCTATCCCTGGGAGTGCTTTTATCGGAAGTTGATCTAAATAGTCATCAACCTGTAATAGCCAAACAAATGCTTCCCAGTGAGGTAAGTTCTATACAAAATGCATTGTTCTATGGCTATTTTGAAATGATATTCAAGGCCAAAAAGTCAAAATTAATTGCAAAGCATCAATGGCTAGTAAATTTATTATCACTACATGCATGCTGTATTTATGGTAAAAGTGTGTTTCAATGTACATAAAACCAGATAGAAACGTAATGTCTAAACTACCATCTGAAGGGAACATCCCAGGTTGATAATACAAAATTTATAAAATATTAAGGACTTATTTGGTAATAAACTCAAGAAAAGAAACCCAAAAGCCTCCATGTTTACCACAAAATTAACCATCTAATCTTTATAACAGTCAACTTCCATGCAAAGAACCAACTAGTTTACCCACATTTTCTTTTCTTCTTAATTTTAGTTGATATTTGATACATTTCCTCATCAAGTTAACATATCTTTAAAATCTTGAAATCTTAACACTTTTCCCTTTGGGAGACTTGCCCTTTACCAATACCTTCCTGGCAAGCATAATAAACTGCTCTCTCTTTTATTGATTACTGCACTTTGTTTTCTGGTTATGGACATCATATTGTATGTAGTCCATTATTTAAACCTTTGAATAATCAAAACACAGGATAACTAGATAAGTATCATGCATAAGCACCAACCATGCATATAGAGCAAACAAAAGTGATGAATAATCAAAGCAAATGTTCAATGAGTCTGTTCAGATAGATTATAAATAGAATAGTTCAAAACAAACTTTAAAGAATATTTGCCACCCAAGTTACAATACATAATTTAACATTAACAATGTTAGATTATAAAAGTTTCCTTAGATACTCCTAAGTTATATTTTTTTTGTTTAGTTACTTTGTGATGGAGTTAGTAAGCTGAGCAGAAATTATAGGAATCCCTAGTCTAAGGGAGCCATTGACAGTTTTTTGAGATTATGTATTATAGTATTGAACTACTACCTACTCCATGTACAAGTGAATGGCCACTAAGCCACATATAATAGAAAGAGTATGGAATGCAGAATCCTATTTCATCTGCTCCATCAATTCAGAATTCCTATTTCTCTTATCTCAGTTCTCTCTTCTTCAACATACCTCTCATTTGCAGATTTACAGATTTAGAACCAGCAGAACAAACAAAGCAAAAATAAACCATTAAAATGAACTGAAAGATGAGACTGTTAGGATGCCATACTGTACAATTTTTATGTTAAAAAGGAAAATTATTAGGCTTATTAAACACACCTTCCCAGGAGGGATGTAACATTGGCCATCTGGTTTAGCAGTTCTAGTGGCTAGCCGGGCCAGAAGCATATTCTCAGCTATCCCAACACTTGCGGTGCATCCAGTTGCCTCAACTATTTCTTTTCTTATTGCCGAAGCTAACAGTTCAGGGTCTTGACCTTCCAAGTCTGTAACGTCTAAAAATGCTTCATCACAGCTGACTGCCTACATTTGACAACAGTAACAATGTCAAAAGAAAAGGAAAGAAACTTTGAGCTTGGCCTCTTAATTTGTTCCCATGGGCAGACCTGAACTTTGCTGCAGTGCTTGTGCAAGATAGTATAGAACTGATCAGCAACCTACACCATATGAACAGATTACATGCCAAGGAAAAAGAATGAAAAACTCTCTCAACAAGAAAATTCAAACACAAAACAAAAGGTCATGAAAATTGGCCAAAAAACAAAAAATCTTGCACAAAACAAAAGGTCAAAGAAAAGGGAGAAAGAAAGCACACAGTTCCCTTTGTGAGCAACAAACAGCCAGCTGCAAATTAACCATATGATTTACCTTCTCATACGCTTCAAAGTTGTATGGGAAAATCACAAGGTGGGGACAAAGAGCCTTGGCATTTCTAACAAACATTCCTGCCTTAATTCCTAAGAACAAAAAAAA